GTAAAAACACCACAAACCAATACTCTCCTGCAAAGTCTTAATCATTCAACCACCTTGTTTTCAACACATAAGGACAGAATAAGCTATTGTGAAATAATTTGACTAAAATGACAGTTACATTTGGTGTTGGCTAGACTAGTTTGACTGAAATGGTCAATATCAATAGAGACTAAGAAAGAACTCAATCAGATGGTTTCAGTTGAAACAAAGTCAAAGACTAAGCATGGAATAGGTGTGTCTGTGACTAAAAATAATGAATAAAAATACTCAGACATTTCAGTCTAGTCGAAATCTGACCACATGTGGGGCCGCCACAGTTGTATCTGTTTCTAAGAAAAGGCTCTACGGCAAATGTTCCAGACTCTAGTCACTCAACAAGGAGCTTCTGACCTGCCCCTAGTGTGGATGCCCTATACATCTCCTTTTAGAGCACCTGACCCAGTCGTGATCAAATGCGACTGTACCAGAAGTACAGCATGTCCGCTTGACGATAAACCTCAAGAAAACAGAATCATATAAGTTGCATGCTTTCGTAGAGCGACTTACAATTGCTACTCACTGGAACTTTAGATGGATAGGCAGTTGCCCTCTAGTAGAATGGTGCGTTCCCTGTCAAGGTGCTTCCACTTGCCCACTCGAATTGGCCATCCAGCTGGCACGCTTTAAGTCTCTGCACAGGAGAGGTCGCACAGCCGAGTTGCTGAGTGCCATGTGCGTGCCCTAAGAGGGAACGTTTGATGCTACGGCCATGCAATCACGCCGCGTTCAGGAGTAGTTTCCTTCTGACATGATGGGCTTGCTAGTTGGTCTGTGCTTTGTCCAAGTAGCAGGCTCATGATCATGATCTGTTAGTGACATTCGAATCTATATGTCTATCGGCCAGTCTTCTGGTCAAACTAGACAGCAAGGGCAGTTTATCCATATACGGTTAGACAGGACAGCTACAACATGTTCACCTCGCACGCTGAAGTGATGCCTAGCTAGGACGGGCTGATTTTTTCGGTTATGCGGAACTGATTAAATGCATTACTTAAACGTTTCCTACTGTGCTGTGTGTAATATGGCTGTAATATTTTTCGAAAAATCTGCATCATTCCTACACAACAATTTCTAGACTCTCGCAGATTTGTGCAGTTGCTTTAAGGGACTCCATAGTAGCTTACTGTACTCTCTCACTTTCCAGAACGCGCCCAATATGGTCTAAGCTGCGGCCGCGGACAGTACAGAACACTACACGACACGCACCTGACACGACACTACGTGGCTGAGAAGGGTCTAGCTGCGCGGCCGCGGACAGTGGGAAGTTGAACATAGCAAGCCCCAGGAAGGCGCCGGATCCTGACTTGAGAATATTCGTTGTGGCCGCAAAGGCGGTACTACACCTTCTTTAGGTGCTGGGCCCGGAAACACTTTTTCCATTGACTTACATTGGGAAAGAGTGCTTGTAACTCGTTGGATAATTTTTTTTAAATAAATACAACTACCCAGTATGACGTTTGTATAGACCCTTATTAAAAAACATTCGTTTCTCCAGTTGTAAAATGTGCTAATAACGTTATTCTGAGAGTATTTTCCCTCTCCATTAATGAACGCGCATCTAACCCACCGGGACCGCGCTGCCCGCAGCACGTTCATGTTACGTGTTCAGTACTTACATGAGTTTCTCTTTACCCATGGATGCACAATAACAACGGACCATATCGCCTTACTGCCAGCCCACGGAGCTGTAATAATGGATATATTGCACATGTTTGCTGTAATTCATCATTTGTAAAATATTATACTACATGGGCTGTATGATGTAAATCTCGTCAATTCGCTTTTAACGGTAGTGCCTCTCAGCCACCGTAGTGTCGTGTCAGGTGGGCGTGTCGTGTAGTGTCGTGTAGTGTTGTGTACTGTCCGCGGCCGCAGCTAGACCCTTCTCGAACGCGCACAAAACTCAGACACATTGCCTGTGACTACCCGATCTGCAGCTCTGCCCGATATTATTTGTTGTATTTAATTTTACAAGTTTTTTCAGGGACAAGACTACAAGACTTTTTTTTTTCAGTTTCATTTAAAAAAAATCTTTGCACATTAATGACAGCCAAGTGGTGCTGTTTTTATTTTATTTTTTTTATTCTTGAACAACTGATTTGTTCACATAGGCCTAGACTACTTGGTAATCTCATTTATTTTGATTGTGTTACTAAAGAAAATATGTATTGAAATGTTGCCTTGGTCTGGTTTGTTTAGAAAAAAACAGAAAAAAATCGAGGTTTAAATCGAAAATTGTCCATTAGTTAGAAAAAAATCGAGATTTTATTTTTAGGCCAAATCGCCCAGCCCTACCAGGATATCAGGTCAGAGAGGAGTAACTTGTAACGGACTGTAGTGATAGTCCAACCCTGTCTCACGGCATTTCGTGTTATAGTCACGACATTTAATCTACTGATTCGTGTTCACCAACGCGATTTTCCCCTTTTTTCATGTCACACATAACGATTTTAAAAGCAATGTATTTCTATTGGTAGTATGTTTCGTGCCTGCAGCACGTCTTTTAGTCCGTTCGGGTCTTGGAAGACCGGAAGCTGTGGGGTTCATAAAAACATGTTCTTACTCTGCCATTATTGTTTTTATTTTAAATCGTATAATGTCTGACTTCTTTTGTCGTCTGTGAGGAAAAGAAATGGGGCTCAGAGCCTCAAAATACTGAAATCTGTATTTTTTTTAAAACAATTTTTCCTTCTAATTTGTTATTCTTTTCTAAATAACACACTGTTATTTACTCACCAATAACACACAATTATCCTTGTTTTTATTTATTTGTTTAATTCCATAATCTCTGGCTTTTTTGGCAGGAACTGAATTTCAAAATAAAAATAACCGGAAACAGACGTAGGACTATCAGGGACATTTCAAGCAACATTGCGAAACACAGCCACTGGCTGTGTTTCGCAATGTTGCTTGAAATGTCCCTGATAGTCCTACGTCTGTTTCCGGTTATTTTTATTTTGAAATTCAGTTCCTGCCAAAAAAGCCAGNATTGTCTGTATGATAAATAAATAACACTGTACCTTGCAAATCAAGTAGCGGGTACATTTACCCGTTGGCGGTTTTAGGTATACAGCGACCTCTTGCGGTTCTAGTGTTAATAGAGATCTGCAGATAAATGTTTAGTCTTCTCAAGCACCAACTATCAAATATCTCTCCTGATTGTTGGCACTTGACAATCACCTTTCCTGAATTTTACTCAGGTGTAACTAAAGTCTGCTTTAAGGGTTGTTTATATTTCACATCATTAATCAGAATCTGCAAAGTAAATAAAATAAATGTAGTGGAGTAAAAATACCAGGTTAACCTCTGAATTGTAGTGGAGTAGAATTACAAAGTAACAATGAGCTGTCATGTGGGTATATATTAATGCTGCCCATTATGGATACAAGCGATTTTCACCCATTTAGTAATTACATGTTTTAAATGTGTACACACCAATGTGTTTCCTACCGCCTATAAACCTCCAGGGCTGTACACAGTTTAATACTGTCAACTTCTAATTTTGGGAAAAACGCCTTTTAAAACTACAATTCCCAGTAGAGACGTGCCATATAGAACATGTTGCGAAACACAATAGCCAGCATGTGTAGTTCTCGGGGGGCGTTCGAGTCCAGTTTTGAATAGTCTGCAGTGGTTTCGTTCCATTTCAAAGAGCTTGACGCTCGGCGTAACCTTGGCGCACTGCCACTCCAACATCACAGGGTTTGTCAACGGGACTGTAGTCCCAAACGATAGCTGGGGATTATGGGTAGTGTAGTGTCTTCTGCCATCCTAAATCTCGAAATGTCCCGTCTGTTTCCGGTGACTTTATTTACGGCTAAAAAGCATGCCCAAGATTATAGAATTAAACGAATAAATAAAAACAAGGATAATTGTGTGTTATTGTTGAGTAAATAACAGTGTGTTATTTAGAAAAGAATAATAAATTAGAAGGAAAAGATTTTGAAAAAATACAGATTTCAGTATTTTGAGGCTCTAAGCCCCATTTCGGCAAAAAAAGTCAGACATTATACGATTTAAAATAAAAACAAATAAATAAAAAGATAAAACACTGGCATGTAATTTACGTTAGAATAAATAGAATGGTTTTGAATAATAGATGATAGTCAAATCTACGTCACTCTACAGCCCCGCCCACTTTTGGGGAAACCAACCCTGTCATTTGAATGGCGATTAAGCCTGAAGCCACAGAGATCTTCTTTTACTTTCCTTTCTTCTTAGAGGAAGTACAGAAACACGTAACTCTGGATTTGTTTTAATGTTTGAGGTGCAATAAA